CTAAGTGGGGCCCGCAAAACGAACTTTTGAGAAAAAAGGACAGAGGATCGACGGCTCTGATTACTTGTCAGTTAGTAGGCCCTACATGGACCCACGCAAACGGAAAAGACAAACTTTGGGTTTCAAAATTTTAAACCACTCGGCCCATTTAGGCCCATTATAGCTAATTTAAATACTGTAATAGTACAATATTGAATTTGACCCAACGGACTTGTTGTTGACTGTCCGATGCTGAACCGAATAAAGCAGTTGTATACTTTTTTCGAAAAGTCAACAGTGAGAGACAAAGTCAATGACCCGACTCGAGAAAAACGGGTCGGATTACAAATACCCGCACCGACGGGTTCATTGATAGGAGACCAAGTGGCTCTAATGGCACAAGTTTTTATGAGGATAGTCTGACACGAGGAAAGAAGCTGACCTTTTTACTTATTGCTTTTGGAGTCGATGTATATATATATACATGTAAGTATCGTCGCTGAGAATTTGATCATTTGCTCAAAGACGAAAGCTTTCTCTCTCTTCTTGGTAAGTTTCCTTCTAATTCCTTTGCTTGCAAAATTTCTACTTTAACCGTCGTGTGCAATTTCTCGTTGTGAATTATTTGGTTTTGTTGAATTCCGGATCAATTTTTGTTTAGATGGGTTTCGTTGGTGTGGTGAATGCTAAGTGTTTGGTGATTTACCCCAGAGACACTGTTTTTTCTTTTTTTTTCTTTCTTACAAATTACCCACCAAAAAAGGTTCTGTTTTTTTGTTTCTTCTAGGTTTAGTGAAATTGGGTTTACTCCAAAGGTTTCGGTTCGAATATGGAAAGTCTATGTTTAGAAATCTAGTCAAGTCTTTGTTGTTTTGTGAAATTGAGGACTGTTCCCGCCGTATAAGTTAACTTGGAGCGTTGTTCTTTGGAGAGAACTAGAAAAAATTCATTGTTTCATTGTTTCAATTTTAAATAGCTTCTTCATTTTGTTAGCTAAATGGATTTGATTTTCGGTATTTCATTGTTTTCTTGGCTTATCTACATCTCTTTAACGTTTCATATATAGTTTATGAAGGAAATCTTAAAAGGTTGTTTGTAGCATCTATCTCAATCCTCCCACCAAAGCAATGTATTCCTACTTAGAGCAGACAGTCACCAATTCATTCAATGCAATCAAATGAAACCATGTAGGAGTGTCAATTGATAGGAATCTTTATAACATTTCATTTCGTAAGCTGTTTGCATTCTGAATCTTTGCTTTGCTTTCTCGATCCATAGAGTTTGATCCAAAGCTCGGTCTCTTCTTGGTCTGGCTTTACCACCATTTATATGCAAACAGCTGATGCACATGTCTCTTTGTTAATAAACTATACGCTTGTGTGTTTATTCTGATTTTGTCTTCTTCGATGGTAAGTCTCCTTGAACTCTTGAACTTACAATTTAAGTCTTTGTGTAGTATACCTGGTTAAATATTTTCATCAGGTTTCAGCTGCGTTTGGCATCTTGAATCACCCGTTGTTAATGTTATTTGCACCCTTCTTTTTACTAATCCATTTTAATAAACCCTTAACCCCTTGTGATACCAAATGCAGAACACACAGGCACACACACAATTTCCCATGGCTGCATTTGCAACCGCAGAAGCGTGTGACAGCAACGCAGAACTAATATCAAATGGAGACCTACGCGCTCTCCACCCAATCTTCAAGATCTATGGCCAAAGAAGATGCTTCTCAGGACCAATCGTGACACTCAAGGTCTTTGAAGACAATGTCCTAGTCAGAAACCTCCTAGAGACAAAAGGCGAAGGCGGAGTCTTGGTTATAGACGGTGGTGGAAGCATGAGATGCGCGCTTGTTGGAGGAAACCTCGGACAGTTAGCTCAGAACAACGGTTGGGCGGGAATTGTTGTGAATGGATGTGTTAGAGATGTGGATGAGATCAATGACTGTGATGTTGGGGTTAGAGCATTGGGATCTAACCCATTGAAGTCTAGTAAGAAAGGTCATGGTGAGAAGAATGTGCCTGTTTATATTGGAGGTACTTTGATTAGAGATGGAGAGTGGCTTTATGCTGATAGTGATGGTGTCTTGATCTCCAAGACCGAACTCTCCGTTTGATGCAGAAGGTTTCCATGAATAGTATTAAAGAAAAATCAGTTTCTTGAAGCAAGCCGGTCTATCTCGAATTCTTAATAATTTGTTTCTTATTATTGGTTATTTCTCTTGAATTCGAAACGAAATAAAATAGTTATGTGTTTATATGCAACTTCTCTATAAACAGACACAAATGCCTTTATTTGGTGATGATTCTAAAAAACAATTGCATTTTCGGTTAACAAATGCCAAGATTTTGGCTACTTTTTTTTTTGGGCAAACTTTCTTTCATTAATCTAAACTTTGGAGATACACTTGTAGAACAAGGATTGAAAGCAGTAAATGATAAAACATAGATAAACTCATAATTAAACGACAGCGAATCCGAAGACATGTACGGATGCGTCGGTATAACAGTTGCGGCAAAGCCGAAGAGGAGTAGCTTAGTCACCTTGAATTGTGACGTTGAATAACATCTTCTACCTTCGAATCTCGTCAAAGCAAAATCTGTTGCATCGTTTTGTTCCGTGGAGACGGCTACATAAGAGTACGAATCGGTTAAAAAGATGAAACATTTCCACGGCTTGGAAGCCGGGATGAGTTCTCCTCTCGTGGAGAGAGAAAATGATAGAATGGTTCTCTTTCCGAACGGGAAAAGAGGTGGAAGTGATCTCTCCCAAAGGGAAGAAGTTGATAAGAAATCTCTCTCTTCACTGGAGGAGATTAAGAAGTTAGACATCCCAAACATATAAACTAAGCCATTCACGAATTCAACAAACGATTTGGGCCTTGATAAATTGAGGAATATTGGGCTAACTTCAACACAATCTATCATGGGCCAAGCCCATATTTGAAAACCACCGAAGGTATTGTGGATCTTTGAGATGTTGAAGGATGAGCGGTGGTGGCTCGGAGAGCCGATAGTCTCGCCGGAGCGAATTTTGGAGCCAGCGATGAATAGTGGTTGGTATGGATGTGGGAACAACGCTGATACGGTAAGGCTCGTCCGAAAAGATAAGTGAACGGTGAAGGAGCTTGAGCCAAACGAGATCTGAGCATTAGGACCCAAATTTGGGGGATGGTGGTGAACGGCGGAGGAAACAAGCGAGGTGAGGTGGGTTGTGGAGCATAAAGCAGTAGATCTTCGGTTTTGAGCCGAGAGTAGATCCGCGCCATGGAAGCACAAAACCGACGCAAGTGAACAGGTGAACAAAAGAAAAACGAGCAGCGAGTAGAGGGGAAGAACCACCGCCCGACGCCGGCGAGCAAGAGCTCTACCGGCGCCGGAAGAGAGAAAAAAATTTGTTGCCTCGATAATTGCGCTAGAGAGAGTTTTACTTGAATCCCAACACTTAGTTTTGACCATACGATTTTGGCTACTTTATAATCGTAGAAGAATATTCTCTCTATGCGCGTCTAAAAATTGAAACACTTATAAGTTATTTTGGGAGAACTTTAATATAAAAACACCATTAGCGGAAAAAAAATTATATCGCAGATTATTAAATTAAATGTCGCATGAAAAAAAAAACAAATAAAATTACACAGAAAAAGCTCTAAAACATATAAAATTTTGGAGAGAGTGGCAACTAACCTTATGAAAATTAATTATCAAATATTTCTTGTGGTCGAAACTTCAAAGAAGAAACCAATTATACCGCATGATAATTCTAATCGGTTATACTTTGATAATTGGAACTAAAACACGCATAATTGTGTAAATCATTGTAATAAATCTTGTACGAATGGATTTTAGTTATTTTGTATAGATGGACAAGCATGAATAAGACCTTAGCATTTACTTGAATTTTTTCGATTTTGAATCCAAAATCTGCTCTATGGAATTTGAAAGATGAAATATCGTGGTGGACCAGTCTTTACAGAATTGAAGAAATTCCATCTAATCATATATTCATATAATCATATTCATACC